CCGGCTCCACATTGCCAATGTTCGAGATCCAAAGAAGCGGCGGCATGTTCTCGATTCAATGGATTCGTCGTGCCCAAGTTTGATTCTGAGGCAGATCGACAAGGCCGAGATTGTAGCCGTCTTGGCCAGCAACATCTTCACGGTGTTACAAAGAAAGGTTGCAATTGCAGGATTTCCGTCAGTACGCCTTCAGCCCGCACTCGAAACACGGAAGAGTGTTCCGCGCGCGGGATGGGGGCATAGTGACGGAAATCCTGCAACTGCAACCTTGATTTGTAAGACTGTGAAGATATTGCTGGCCAAAACGGCTACGACCTCAGCCTTGTCGACTGAGACCCCCAACGACGCGGCTTCGCTTTCACATGTGGAGGCTTCGGACGATGAAATGGAGGTAGCCGCTGGAGGCCCGAACCCGCTTGCACGACACGAAGCATCACGAAGCCATACGTCGACTGCTCTTATGAGGTGCAGCTCACCCCAGGCTTTCGCAACATTGTTGTTTCTTGCTCGGGCTTCACTCCAGGCTCCGGCAACAAGACGTTACCAGAGCCCCGGGTGAAGTCTGAGCAGGAAATAACAGTGTTGGGAAAGCCAGGGGCGAGCTGCGTGGATTTTTTGCGTCAAGCTGAAGGACTTTAGTTTCAGCAGGGCCTGTACCTGTGGCTGATGCGCGTAGTGAATGTAGCCCGCTGCGTACGCTTGCTTGAAGACGAAAAAAAATCATTCTGACGCTTACTTTAGAAAGATGGCTTGTCTGAAACATGTTGGTGCTTACTGATACAACCACATGAAGGCATCCGACAATGGCATCTGGACGACTGGGCTAGCGTGTCAGGTGCCTGTTCCGCTACTTGCGTAGTTCAGTCTCTGTGTCATCCTCATGTGGAACTATGAGAAGCCAGGCTCGGCAGACATCATTGCGGAATAGGCACGGATGGGAATTGTCTGCTTCGGGGAAATGTCATTGATTCCTTCGTTGTCTGCCAGGTCGCCGATTACGAGTGAGCTGATGCATGATCGTCGAGCGCCACATGTGCAAACATATACGCGTATCATGTGACCGCATTGGCCAACATGTTGATTTAACAAATATTCGCATCAATGTCACGATAACGACACTGTAGCATCAGGATTTAACTGACGACTTGAGCGCTTCTGGTGCAAAATTTGATTACACGCTAGTGTCAGCTGCGCACTGCTCATGTATATATAAAGATTATAAACAAATACACAGGATGTATTGAAACTAAAGACAGAAGACCAGAGAGAGTTGGGGAAGCCAAAGATACAAGAAGAAAGAATGTCGTCAAGTGTCGCGCGCGTCTGGTCCTTTATACTTGCATGTTCGTGACGCGTGTCTGCATTCGGGTTCGTGGCTCCTATCTGATTTGTGAAATGCTAGTTTCCCAAAACAAGGGGACCCAAATATGCCATAGTCCATATTATAGGACCCCCAGAATGGCACCCCTAATTGTTGGAAAATCCCCAAATGAAAATAGGTGATCTCACTGGCCTTGGCCGGCATCTGCAAGCAACAGTCGGAGGTGGCGAGATCATCGCAGGACCTTGTTTGCCCCAAAAATCTCAACTGCATCTTCACTCAAGTTACGTATGAGGATATTTCAGGCAGGCCGCTGTACCATTTTGCTGCATGCTGCATCGATATCCTTGCCAGGCACTGACTCTGAATTCTGCACGTCAACCATCACAAAGTAACCAGGCCTTTTGGGACTTGTATGCCCCAGCTGGATGTGGGCCAGCACAGAAGCATTGCTTCCCGCCTCGGCTGGGCAACACCCTAAAACCAAAATAATAGTTTCCATTTTCTTTTCCGTTACTCCAATATAACCCCAATATACCTATAGTTTCCATTTCATTTTCCATTATCCCTATATAACTCCAATATAGCATAGTAGTTTCCATTTTCTTTTCCATTACCCCTACAGAACCCTACATAACCATATGGGTAACTCCCAGAACTATGGACTATGGGCCGCTTTGGTTTTAGATTAAATTATGGTACCTGAGATTTAGGGGTACCAGAATAGGACCCTAATTTTGGGAACTACCCATATATATCTATCGATCTATCTATCTCTCTATCCCGATATTTTGCGACCAAGCTGCGGCCTTCCTGCATGAGTGCTGGCTCGGACCTTGAACAGCAGACGGAAATTGCAAGCCAGGCTTCGCTCGATAATAAGAATAATAGTAGTAATCATAGTAGCAAGAATAATGATAATATTAGAAATATAGCAGTAATATGAAGTAATAACAGTAGAAATAGTCATAATGGAAATAATAGTAGTGATGATGATAATACTAATAATGATCGTAGCCAACCTTTTGTCAAGCCCTGCTTTGCACAAGGCTGGTTACCTTCTGTCACCCACACAGACTTACCGATCAATGTAGGGATGAGACGCAGAGCGTTGCGTTTAAAGAAGGTGTCACTATTGCTGGATGCTCCATACTCAGGTCTGGGCAAGCAACACTGCGCCTGCAGACAAGCTTAGCAACTCAAAGCATGAGCAGCACATCACTGCACATCGGATGCCTTGTGTATTGGAGTGCACGGCGACCAGAGTCGAGCGCAAGCTGCATCGATCGCCTGTGGACATTGAGTTCACGGGCGTTGCGTAACGATGTAAAGGTTCCTTGCGCCAAGCCTGCTGCTCGGTGAAACGGGTTTCCTGGCAGCAAAAAAGCACCTCGCGCTTTACGAGTTGGCGGACTCCAGTCCCGTCCTTGAGCGGCGTAGCGCAGGTGCACATCTTTGTGGAGCCCTCTCCAACACCAACTTGCTCTCCTCGGCTCTGACAGCATTGCAGACGCAGCAATAAGATCAGAAGAAAAAAAAACATCATAATACCAGTGATAATAATAGTAGTAAGTACTAGTACGAATAATAATGGTAAGAATAATAGTACTGCTAACAGTAATACTAGCGGCAATACTCGTGACTAGTAATAGTGATAGAAATAGTAATTGGAGCTCAACGTGCCAGATCCAGGCACATCCCTGCTGCCCAGCGACCTTCATCGTCTCCAACCAGGTATTTGCTTGGAGAACTCATACAGCAGTCTTCCTGTCCAGTATGCAAAGCCAAATGATACCTAGTAGGATCCTGGCTCTAGCTAAATCGATTACTAGCGATTACTAGTAGGATCCTGGTTATAGAGAAAAACACACCAAAATACAAAAGTCCCATAAACTAGGTCACTGGAATAATAGAAAAAAAAACAAGAACAAGACGACACTGGGAGGGTTGCCTGGCGCATTTGCTCACAGGGCCGCACCATCAGCGCACCTTGGATCTGAAGATGTCCCATGCAACAGAGAAACTGTTATATTCAAATAAGGTATATATGGCGGGGGGGGAAATGGAAGGAATAAGGGCAGATGCTATATGAAGGGACTACAATAGTGTCAGAATTAGGGTTATAGTAGGGGATAGCACATAACATGAAGGGAGTATAATATACAGGGATTGTAATATTTGCCCTTATGTAATTTCTTTCCAGCCCCAGTCAAGGAGTTTAGGCTGTAGCTCATGTGACAGGCCAAGTTAACTTCGGGTTAACTTCAAACGAGCTGCAATGATGGTCAATGGCCTTGTCAGCTTGAAGCAGTCATAAGTCATAACAGTAAGAGTGTCCGCAATAATGATAATGATAACAATATTCAGAGTAATGGCAATAGTGCGAAGAATTGTAATAGTAATAGCCAGCAGTGTAGGTGAACCAAGGATTTCTGGCCTGCTGCGAAGATAAGTTGGATCCTGCTACATTCGGACCAGCGCAGTAGCACCTGACCGCAGCTGCAGAACAGTCAACACCCTCGTTTGCAATGACTCGTTGACATGGTGGATGCAAACGGCTCAGCCCTTAAACCGATAAACCCTAACCCTGAACCGTAAACCCTAAAGCCCAGATGGCAAGTCCAAACTGGCAGTCTTGCCGCGCCTGTCATTTATCTGCGTCGCACGCCATTGTTTTGGCGACTTTGCGCAGCACGAGGCTTCGGAGACCTTCATGGATCCCAGCAGCATTGGGCCAGTATTCAGAGTGTTGGACGCAGAGCTTCTGCTCTCACAATTCGTGCTGCTTTGATACGTTGAAAGTGATGCTGTAAACCTGGCTTAGGCCCGGACCTCCGCGCATGTCAGGTTCGACAACCAGGGAGTAGAAGTGGTAGTTGTTGCCCTGCTGGTGGTCGTTGTCGTTGTCCAGATGATTTTCTGGCACCTGCTCGACAGAAGTGATCTGGCTAGAATGCAAGTTGAGATGCCAAAAAGCAAGAGCTTAAGAAATGAACATCTCAAGGACTAGTTCTGCAACTCTGTGCCATCCGGGCGCCACTCATCTATCGCGATCTGCGAAGAGAAGGCTTCACCAACAACCTGCATTGCAGTTGAAGGGATGGGCCTGTCTCGTTTTTACGCTCCAGAGGCTATCTCGCCATGCACTCTCTAAGCCCGTTGCTGGGCCGCTACACCAGCACCTGAACAAGTTGGAACGCACATCATTCGAAGCTAGGGAAACCCTCACTCAGAGCTTCCGACTGGTTTTTGCCGTCGTTGTAGCCTGAGTGATTTTTCGAGGCGGCAGAACAAAACGCTGGGTTCGGCCTGCGCAATGCCGGTTGCATGATCTTGCTGCGGCCAAGAGGCGGATCTGCTTTGGAGACATAGTGCAGCAGCGCGCGCGCGGTACCAGCTGACACGGCTTGACCACCTGCAGCTGAAGAATGTCTTGTGCTTCTAATGAAACCATTCAGCCATGAGTTCGGAAGCAGCGATGCAGTGCCACAGTCGTGGGTCTGTTTGCGCATGCTGATGTCAACCGAAGGAAAGGACCTTGCCCAGTCCTCCAGTGAATTCTAGAAGAGAGCCTGGCAGGGCCTCATGCCCTTTGAAGCTTGTTCACAGTGCCTAGTGCCCTGTGGCTTCAGACCATCTCCATTCACTATCAGAACCATCCTGTGTCATCTATTCCTCGTCAGCTGGATCGCACCAGCAATGAGCTCTGGTGCAGGAGCTCCTGCAGGCACTACAAACCACAAACCTTCAGGTAAGGACGCCTCGAGTAGCTTAAGAGCCGTGAGAAGTATCATCATTATCATCATCTACCTTAGAGGAATGGATCTCAAGCTATAAAAACCCTATATAACGCCGAAATACTATAGTAGTTTCCATTGTCTTTCCATTATCCCTATATAATCCCATTTTGAATTTTGCCATCCTGGATCAAAGCAATCGCAGCCACGGCAAGCATTGGAGCGCCCAGCGGCAGAGCCCGAGGCTGACCCTTCTGCGCCATGGCCCGCAGCCAAAGGCGAGTGAAAAGCCTGGGTTGCTGTTAAGGAACTCAAATGAAGTTACCGTAATGGGTATATGAGCTATAGTCTAAACTCCTAGTATCCCCCTTCATAAGCCCTATAGTAGTCCCCTATATAATCCCCTATTTACCCCCGTTTAAGGAGTTGAGACTTTTGCTCATATAACTTAAGGTTTAGGGTTTAGGGTTACTGCTGAGACGCAGGTGCTGCATGAAGGGGCGTAGAAAGAAGCGGATTCATGACTTCCCTTCCCTCAAGTCCAT